GCAGCTCCCGGCCCCACCCGCCTCGCCCACCGGCTCAGTCCATCGGGACCCCGCGCGCCCGAGGGTGTCTCCCCGTCACCCCTCCCGGCTCCCCGCATCGCGTCCTCCTCCAGCGCCGCGGGACGGCGGGGCCGCCACTGGAAGCGGCTGAGAAACGCCCCGGGGAGGAGGATCCCGCGGACGCCGCAGCCCGAGGTAATCTCCTTGGACCCCGGGCCGGCCCGCGCCGCGCCCAGAAAGCGGACCCCGCGGCGCGGAACGCGGGCTCCGGGGTGGCACACACGAGCGGGACAAGTTTGTCAAGATTTCAAAGGTCCTGAAACTGACACTCCTTTAGCCAGTCTCCTTCCTCCTGATATTAACAAGTTTATTTAGACAATGAAAATTAGAGCCTCCGGGATGACTGTGGGTTTGTAAGTACAATCCTGAAAGTTTTTGCATAGCCTGAGTATTTGTTTCTGCCTGTTTATTAACTGTGTTAACTCTTCAGCTAGCCAAAAAATTGACATTTAAAATATTGTTTGAGGAACACTGCAAGTTCTCTGTTGCGCCTGGGCATCGTGTTATTTACCAGCTTAGTTAGCATCTGTCTTCCCGAGTGGTACCGAGCCGGTCCCTGGGCGATGGGTCTTGCATGTGACACTCTTGCCCTCTAGTGCCTCACCAGCTTGGTAGCAGTTTGATAGCTAATATTAATAAGATGTTACATAACACAAGGGGCCTGGGCCAGAACTGCTGTTGCTGGCACTTGTGCAGCCAAAAGCCTGACTGATGGTCTGATGGTCGTAGCTACCGCGATTTCCGTGTCTTTTCAATCGATGGAAACTTTCTCAAGCGTTTTCTGCTCTTTCAACTTTAATTCCAGGTAAGTGCATCTGTTTATTCACACTATACATTAATGGCTCATTCAGAAATGTAGAGGTTCTTAGTAAGAGAAAACTACCTTTCAACTAATCTAAGATTTTCAGGATTTAACAAGGACCTCATTTTTATTATAATTTATAGGTCATTTTGATTACACTAAGTAAAACAAAGGAATATCTTATTGTGGGGTAACTTTACAACCTCCCTTTCATAAAATTGAAGTACCTTACAATTAAGGTTATTCTACAGATTTCTTAGAACATATGTCTGTTCTTTGATGGCCTCGAAATTTTTAGTCAACTTCAGAGATTTTATTTTAAATTATATAACTAATAAAATACAACTAAAAAAAAAAAAAACACCAGCCTAAGTATTGAGTATAGAAGCTTTGTATGAAAAGAAAGTACCTTTTTCTTACATTCAACTTGTCCACTTTTTTGTTTGGAAGAACCAGGTCGCATTCTTTTTAAGAGGTTTACATGTGTCATCTTCCAACTAGAGCTAATAACTGGAAATTACTTAAGCCTCAAACTCAAAGTTGAAATTTCATCCATATGCTTATAAGTATGGCAACATATGTAAACTGAGGGAGTTCTGAGAAATCACTCCTAAGTAATGTAAATAGCTATTCTTAATATTAGAGTAAATGCAAATAAGATACAATGACCAATAAAACTTATGTGAAATCTACATTTCCTTTGACCTTAAAAAACATGATTATCAACTATTGAACATTACTATTTACCATAAAACAGCAGTACCATATGGAGGAGAAACAAACATCTGATATAAGATGATAGGTGTTTTGTTTTGTTACTTTTTCTTCGACCTTAGCCCCCATTATCATATTTGAGGTTTTTTTTAATAAATTTGAAAGAGAATCTTTTGAGAAACAGTACTGAATGTATGAAGAGGCTTGCCCTAACCAAAGGTCTTTTGAAAAACATGTCTCCAGTTAGCATAATATCTACCATCTCTGTTATATTTTTATTGCTATTGTTTATGATCTTGATGGTAAAACAGAGGATTCTTTTTGTGTGTAAGTAAATATTACTAAGTCGGTTCATTTCATCTAGATCATATATTTTGCTTTAAAAGTTATTGTGAGCTAAAATCTAAATATCCAATGACTGTTCAATTCAGAATTTTAAAATCATAAAGATTTTACAAATATTACTTTTAATTTGGAGACTCTCATTATGTGACTTTCTTGAAACCTGGTTGAGTCTCAACTGCTCTCTGATCAATAGTGCCAACTTTTCCCCTTAAAGATGTGTTTGTAGAGGTATAAAATATATTGAAAGAAAGCTGCATTTAAATATTTTGTGATTGGTATGCTATACTAACATGGATGCAGAATCGGTGATAAAAATTTCATCCTCAACTAAATGAATACTTTTTATTATAACTGCTTAGTTGTAGAGAATAAGGGAATAAGCAGTGACATTTACTTTTCCCATGCTATCATTACCAGCATCAGCACTCACACTGAAGGACATGAACTCTGAGTACCTGCCTAGAGTAAAGGATAATCTGCATTGTGATCAGTTTTTCTGAACAATGTCCAAAACTGTTTATGACTGAAGTTTCTCTTAGAAAACTAAAGAATTGGTTTTGAAAAACCAATTGGTGTGTTGGTTTGTCTGTTTGTTTTTAATAAAAACTATATCCTTAGGCTTGGCGTATCACAATGAGTGATTTATCGCTTCATGTTACTCTGAACCTTTTTCATCAATTTCCAAGTTGCACAACTAGAAAATAGTCAGGCTCTGCTGTAATTAATGTGTATAATAAATCACTTCAGGAAAAACTCCTACACATTACCAAGGCCTGTAACTTTGATTACCTGTTGCAAAACGAGAGATTTTTTTTTTAAAAGTATTGAAGTGCTATGCCAAACATTAAGTATCTCAATGATGGGTATCTTTACCTGTCATTTTTAATAGTTTTTCTTGGAAAAGCATGTTTGAAAATAACATGAAACTAGAGCTGGATTCTCGCCTGACCCTACCATGAGGTGGCCTTAGACATTGCCTTCCAGGCTCTGATCACTATGGTTCCCTCATTTGAAAATGAGAATCTCGGAAATCCTTTTCTATCCAATTTGATGTCCAATATTACCATAATTTTTCTGGCCAATAAGATAAACAGACATTAAAAAAAAAAGACAGAAGAGTACAAAACTTAATCTATTGATGAGTTCTATCAAGCAGGATTTTAGTAGTATATATGTATGCCATTAAAATTATAGTTAATACTCATAGAAGGATTTTATCTTTCATTAGACACTGTTCTGAACTCAAGCCATTTTTACCAGTTCTTGTTCTGCATTTGAAATTACCTTTGATTTTAAAAAGTAATTGCTGCAGTCATTCAAGAGAAATATATTCAGCACCTATTGTTGTGCAAGGCTTAAACAGTGGCAAGAGTGCCAGGACCGTAACATGTGGTACCTTCCCTGTAAACAAAGTCTAAGATGATTTCTTTCCCCTCTCTGCTAGCCCAACTGAGTGTCACCTGTTCTAAAAGATGCCCCAGACAACAAAGAAGAATTTGATTAACTTCTTTCTCGCTACCTACAGTGGCTAGAGTAATTGTACCAGGACATTGACCCCCCTCAAGATTCCCTATCATATTCTCATAGCCTTCCTCTGCTCATTTTGCATCATACCCGCCTCTACAGAACCGGTCGCCTCTGTTTATCTGGTTAATGTCATCTGCCTTCAGATACAGCCCAAAGCTGATCTGTAACTTTACATCTTATGATCCAGACAGACGGTGAGAAATTGGGTTAATAATCTCTTGCTCCCATGACTCTGAAAAAGGACTGATATGGCAGGAGTTAGATAATATCCTGGAGCTCATGGCGGTAGTCATTATGCTCTGCTACCGGGCATTTGTTAGTGTATTAGTTCTAGCTCAATTGAAAGGACAAGGGCAGACATCCTCCCCTTCAAGCCCCCCTGGCAGGACATAGAAGCAGCAGTGGGATGGTTCTCTTCTTTCCTCACTGGAGAGCCTAAGAGCAAGAGAAGTGGACAAATGTATTCTGCCCTTTGATATTCCTAAGTAAAAAGGAGGAGGCAAAATTACCATAGAAAGGCATTTTGCATTTTTAATGTGTCGAGCAAAGTTAGTGCCCCCAAGTGCTGCTTTTACCCATCCACCTTTCAAAAGAAATTCCCAGTTCTAGAGAGTGTAGTCTGGGTTGTACACCATGCAAATTAGCATCTTACTTCCCACCACAGCAGGGTTTAGTTAGTGACACACTGTCACACATTCTTTTCCAGAGAAAAGCATGTTCCATGTCAACTTTTGATTTTTCCAAATTGCTTTTAGTAAATTTGTATTTGAGGCCCCCCAAAGCATTTTTCAACACTATAAAACACATTCAATTTTGAGAAAGAGGAATGTTGTCAAGATCTTTTAAATATCTTTCATTTATGTTAGAACCTGAAGTTCTTTAGTTATTAATACTCATTTTCCAGATGGCAATCTTTTTTTCACATTTCTTGTTCTGCCAACTGCAACATGATTCTATTTCATTTAGAAATTGATTTTTACTTTAGGATGATGGTGGGTGTTCATGGAAGAGAAAAGATAGGTTACAATGACAAGGAGGTACTTCCCTTGCAGCTATTGCAACATGTTGCAAAAATGTGTTTGTATATACTCAATTCACAATGTATATAGGAAATGGCCTGTGATTTCAAAAAGTAATTGTTCCCTCTGCTTTTGTTCATTGTAGATAATTAATGACTAAAGTATCCTTGGAAAAAAAGATGTTTTCCTTTTCAAATGTTCATAAAACATCCCTAGCCACATCTGAACTCTGAAAAACGTCCAAATTGGGGAAAGTAGGTATCTGAGTATGATTCAGTGAATGGTACACTCTGGATGTGTCTGATTTATGATCTTGGTCAAGGGGCTTGCTGCCATTCATGGTTTTTTACATTATCACCCTCACTGAGGACAGAGTGAGTTAGAGGGGATCTGTTCATGCAAAAAGCTTTTACTTAATGTCTACCCTACTTTATGAATGCAGCTGATACTTATAAAATTTAGTAGCGGCTCCTTTTTTCATTCATTTAAGAAGTACTCACTGAAATGTTCTTCCTTCAAGCCTTGTTTTGACATCCAGAATGTAAAGGTGAACAAGACAGGTACTTAGAGATGTTTTCACTCTGTGGGGAAATACTCCACAGAAAACCGCACACCTATTTATAGCTCCAGAACACACTGCAGAGGTAAAGTAGATGGTAGTAAGAGAGCAGGTCAGAGGGGACCTCACAGACCTGGGGGATCAGGGAGGCTTTTGTGAGGCTCAGAAC